ACAGAGTTATTCAGCCCTGAACAGCCAGCCCATCCCTTCCTTCCACATCCTGCTGCTTCCATCAACTCTTTCTTCTTGGCAAACCAAGCACCTTCCCCTCAGTATCCTGTACCCCGATTCTTCCTCCAGCACTCAGTTTTATTTCATTGAAGAAAGGCAACACCTTTGCTTGCACTCTAAGGGGTGGCTGGGTCCCTGTCACTGCCTTCTCTTCAGTAGCTGCATGTTCTGGGATGAAGTTCTGCATAAGAGAATTCAAGCTTTCCCTGAAAATACCTGCTTGCTCCTCTCTGTGCAGGGCTCAGTGTCTGTACATCCCTTCCCTCAGCAGAAGCAATAATGAGGGCTGCTCGGTTTTTAGAGGGTGTAGCCAGAGCTAAGGATCGTCCATGCATTTCTAGGTGCCATAAAGAACTTTGTCCTAGTGCTGAAGGACTGGTAGTCTCAGGAGACCAGGTAGGAGGAGCAGGAGAAGGAGTCTGGGACTTGGGAGCAGCAAGAACTGTACATCAGGTTTAAACATCCCGCATCCTTCTGCTAGATTGAAACAGAGCCAGATGGGAAAGAGAGGATGATGTGTCCTTGTTCTCCTCAGGGGCGGGGGCTGCTGTGGCACATCCGAGGCTGGCTGGGTGTTCTGTCCCTCCTGCCGAGCCCTGCGCTCTGCCAACCCTCCCTGCGGCACCGCCGCTGCCTCCGAGCCCGGCTGTGCAAGAAGAGACTTTGCCAGCAGAGGGACCTGCAGACCGGATAATCGCTCCTTCCCCGCTGGAACACTCACCCAAACCCGCAGCCACGCTGAGTCTCTCCTCTCCTACCAGGGAAGGAGGTGTTTCAGGCTCCTCTGCCGCTGCTCTTGACCAACTTGCTGCTGGTTGGTTTGGTTGTTGAGAGCGTTCTCTCTGAGGGGACTGCTAAAGAAATCCATTCAAACAAGAAACCAATTGAAACTCTCTGTTTACTGTATTAAAAAAAATAATGCTAATCCTACAAAGCCCTATAGCTATCTTCTTGCTGCCATCTAGTGAAGGGGAAAAAGTATGACTTGAGTGACATAAGCAGAGCAAAACTTGTCCCAGAGGCTTGTACTTGTTAAACAAACTCTAACTTTGAATAAACTGTTTCAAAACAACCTTTAAAGTTGCATGAAGATTTCCCTTTTGGAAGTCTCATTCACAAAATGCCCTCCTAGGTCCTCAAATGATTGACTGCTTGGGAAAACCTGACTTTGTCATCACTTTGTCTGAAGAACAATCCAATTGTGATAATTTTGTTTTACCGAAACTCTTCATGCTGCTCTTAAAAGCTGTAGGAATTTTGGTGGTCTTTGCAGGATCAGTAGTGGAAGTTTTCACTGCCTTTTATATCACCATGAATGCACAATCACTGTACAAGGGTCACAAGTACAGGCTCCACACACACCTAATTTCTCAGGCAAGGTTTTATAAGCAGAATCAACTCCTTGTTAGGAGCTGAGTGAACTGCAGGACTGAGAACAGGAGTTTTATATCCAGACCCCTGTGCCTGAGCCATAAGATCTTCCTTCCCCTAGATAAAGCTGGTCCTGCATGTCTCAGGAATTTCTGTGAGGAAAGCCTCAGCTGTGTGGCAGACAAGTGATAAACAGGGAGTCAGCAGAAACACAAATACTTCAGCTCCAGTTCCTGTTGCACTCCTGTCATGCTTCCATGACCTCTGGCCAGTCCAGACCTGTGGTTTTGGCACACACCTGCCAGAGCGAGCCCTTCCTGCTTTCCCCACCTGGAGTTTTTATCTCTACCCACCAAACAGCCAGACCCAGCACAGTATTGCCACTGCTTGTGCTTTTCCTTCACGGTTATTCTTGCTGGTTTCCAGGGGATGAAATATTCACCCACCACTTCCAGCAGTTCCAGGGAGCTTCCAGTAGAGCAACTCCACTCATCCCACCACCTTTTGTACCCACAGAAAACGATCCAATCACACATTTTAATGCTTGAACATCCCCTTGCTTTCCACCCTCCTCGTGTTTGCCTGGATATGAGATCCAAACCCTGACGTGCTTGCAGCAGTGGCAGGGCTGCATTTCCCGGTATCCGGAGCACAGGTGTGGGATTGCACCCCGAGACCCGCACGGCTCCCACGGTGCCCCTCAGCCTTGGGGGTCACGTCGGAATTTGCAGCGCTTTGCCCACCCCCGGCTCGATGCCGAGGAGCCGGGTGGGTGCCGGGGGCGGTGGGTGCCCGCTGCCCTCCGCTGGTCGCTAGATGTCAGCACGGGACCGCCAGCCCGGCGAGACAGACCGACACCGCTCCCGGGAGGGACAGACGGACCCCGGCCCGACACACCGACACCGCTCCCGGGAGGGACAGACGGACCCCGGCCCGACACACCGACACCGCTCCCGGGACAGACAGACAGACCCGGCCCGACGGACCCGCACCGCTCCCGGGACAGACAGACCCCGGCCCGACGAACGCATTGCTCCCGGGAGGGACAGACAGACCCATCCCGACAGACCGACACCGCTCCCGGGACGGACAGACAGACCCGGCCCGACGGACCCGCACCGCTCCCGGGAGGGAGGGACAGACAGACCCGTCCCGACAAACCGACATATCTCCCAGGAGGGACAGATCCCATCCCAGCAAAAACCACACGACCAGAGCATATTGGTCTCTCTTAAACCTCCTCTCTTCTGATCTGTTAAAGAGATTTTGTTTGGTTCTACTTTTAGTATCCACTTGGGGCTGATAGGGATGGAGCCGTGTTTCTCACCATTGCTCCCTTCTCTTTTCTTATAGGAAAAAAATCCATCTGTGAGTTTGTCCCTCAGTCAAAAAATGCTGTTATCCAGCTAAACAAGTTTTTTTAATGAAAGTGGAAGTCTTTGTAACTAATATTTTTTTTTCTCAGTTTTCAGTGAGAAACCAGGTTGAGTATTTTCAAAGATGCCTATTAACAGCTGCAATTTAAAGAAGTCCAAAGCAAATTCTTCCATGTGCACTTTTTTTTGTTAGCACATTAAACTTGAATGAATTTCAGATTCATACAGGCTCCAAATTATTTCTCTCAGCTGTGTGTTTTGGAATTACATACAAAGCATCAAATCCTCCTGCTCTGTTCTGCTGTAGCTGATGCACCTCCCAAGCTACCCTTCAGTGTTGAAATAACCCTTGAAGAACTAATCTGTTTAATAAACCATGGGACAGCCTGTGTGAGAAGTGCTTGCTTCTGATTTTCAGCCCACTTAGATGCACATGGCATTCTTAGAAAGCTGGCAGTACTTGCAGCGTGTCTTTACAACCAGAATTCCTGAAAGTTTGTAACAGTTGATTGCGAGATCTTAACAAAAAAGTAAATAATTTGTAGCACAAATCCTGCTTTTAACATTTCCTCTACATCTTTCTAATGGGAATTACTTGTGCCAGTGATGATATTCTGGTACCTCCTTCCATTTGTCTGTTATGACTTGGAGTGTGGGACCAGAGATGAGAATCCATTTGTCTGTTATGACTTGGAGTGTGGGACTGGGTCCAGAGATGAGAAGTCACACTGTGCTCACTTGCATTTGAAAGTCACAGTGGATATATAGAGTGTCACCATGAATATATAGAGTGATCTGTCCCAGGAGTAGCTAAGTGGTTCAATTCTCATAAAACAATTAAGTTACTAAAATCAGTAATTGGTCTTCATGGTTGGATAAGCCTGATAAGGGGAGCAAAAGGGAGATGTGACCATATTGTAACATTCAAACACTGGAGGTGAGGTAAGAGAACACCAGTGAGAAGTATGATGGACAAACCTGCTGCACACTCTATGCCAGGCTCGGGCAGAGCCAGTTTTACGTGCTCCACTCCTCCAAAAAGCAGAAACAAAACCTCCCAGACTGCAGTCAGAGCAGGGAACAGCCTCGTTCAGGCAGCAGCTCTGCAAGCACAGCTGGGGCTGAATGTGTCACTGCTCATCTCGGCTCTCCTGGCTCTGATGTGGGGAAGGGAGAGAGACAAGCTCGTCATCTCACGTTAGCACACAGCACACAGGGAGCTGATGGGAAGGGGACAAGCCAACTGCACTTCAGAGAGGGCCTGAGAAAAACAAACCCCATTCTGGAAAAAGCCTCCTGTCACTGTAACACCCGGGCTATTTACTACAGCAAATAAACTGCCAGGTGCATCTGCAGCAACTGGTTGCATCTGCCTGCAGGCAATATCCACCTGCTCGCAGCTATGTGGCACTGCACAGGATTCAGGATTCATTCCCATCCTTTCCAAGCAGACCAGGCACATGTCATGCATGGAGAAAGCCTGGAATGCCCTTATGCTATCTGTAAAACAAACCTCAGGAATATGAACCAATCTCCAAACTCTAGAAAATAAATAAATTGGGATCTCTTTCTGTTGCAATAAAAGTTTATGCCCTTGTTGTCATCTTGATGCAGGAATATGGGACTAAACATCCCGATTGTCCTTCTGCATGCAGCTCCACTTTTGCCAGTGGTTGCCTTGGATTCTCCTCCATGGATCAGACACCAGCAGTCCCAGTGATGATTCCTCCCACCCTGCAGGCCATGGTGTGGTTTGTTTCCTGTCCCAGTGCCACACTCTTTTGCTGGTACTCACAGCTGGAGAGGATGAAGGGTCCCTTCAGAGAAGGGCTGGATCTAAACTGTTCCTGGCACATGGAAGGGAAGAACACTGTGAGCTCCTGAAGAAAATGGGAATAGACAGGGCCTTTGCCTTGGAAATGTCCCTGCACAACTGGTGCCTCCTCTGTCAAGCCCTCCTAAAACCACCATGACTGGATCTGTAGCACCGGGTGTGCCCTGGTGCTTCCCTGAGCTTCCAACATCCAGGGACAGGGTGAGGGAAGGGAAGGGAAGGGAAGGGAAGGGAAGGGAAGGGAAGGGAAGGGAAGGGAGCGCTCTGCCCTGCGATTGGCGGCGGGTGTCCCCGCGGCCCCTGTCGGCGATATAAGTGCGGCGGGGCCGTTCTGCGCTCACTGCCCGCCCCCAGCCCGGGCGCAGCGCCGAGCGGAGCGGAGCGGCGGGGCCGCCTCCTCCTCCTCCTCAGCGCCCAGGCAGCGGCGGCCGAGCGGGACTGCCGGCGATGGCTGAGCTCAAGTCGCTGGGCAGCGAGGCGTACCTGGCGCTGGCTCCAGGCTACGGGCCCTCGCCTTTCGCCTACGGGGCCGTGCGCGGGGGCGCCGAGGGCCCGCGGGGCGCCTACGCGGGGGGCGGCGGGGCGGACTTCCACGCCGGGGCCATGGGCACTAAGTCGGCGGAGAGCAGCGGCGAGCAGAGCGGCGACGAGGAGGACGGCTTCGAGGCGGGCGTGAAGGGCGGCGCGGGCTTCGAGCGGGAGGCGAAGCTGAAGGGGGGAGCCCTGGGCAAGAAGCCCAAGGAGCAGCGCTCGCTGCGGCTCAGCATCAACGCGCGGGAGCGGCGGAGGATGCACGACCTGAACGACGCGCTGGACGGGCTGCGCTCCGTCATCCCCTACGCGCACAGCCCCTCGGTGCGGAAACTCTCCAAAATCGCCACGCTGCTGCTGGCCAAGAACTACATCCTGATGCAGGCGCAGGCCCTGGAGGAGATGCGGCGGCTGGTGGCCTACCTGAACCAGGGCCAGGCGCTGAGCGCCCCGCTGCCCGCCACCCTCAACCCCTTCGGACAGTCGCCCGTGTACCCCTTCGGCGGCGCGGCCGTGCCCGGCTGCCCCGAGAAATGCACTGCCTTCACAGGAGCCGCGTCCGCCCTCTGCAAACACTGTAACGACAAGCCTTGACTTCTGCCTTCTTCGGGCTTTTCCTTTCTTTTTTTTCTTTTTTTTCTTTTTTTTTCTTTAATTTTTTTCTTTTTCTGTGCACTTTTCCACTGCCATCAGCCCTGGCTCTTCCTTCCATCAGTTAAGTCCGGGTTTTCTTTTTTGTTCTTCTCTTAAATACACCCCCCTCCCTCCCCATCTGGAAATGTTTGGCAGTTCACGTGGACCCCCAAAACACCCACTTTCTACTTTATTTAGTTCCCCCCTCACGCGCAACTTCATCCGTAGAGTTATTTCCTTCCCAGCCTGTCAGTGGATTGTGAGCGTAATGTTGCTTTTCGCTTGCTCTGAGCTACAAAGTTTTTGAGCAGTTTTGAAACAGAACTATAGAAAAACAGAGAGGGAGAGAGATCTGGAAATGGAAACCTCAGTGAATTTGCTTTGGCATGATCGACCTGTGTTAAAAATAGATTAAAAGGAGGAAGGGGGAGCAAAATCCAGCTGCAAACTATGCAATATTTCAGAATCATGGGCGGAGGGGGTTCTGTGTAGCCAGCTGGGGTTGGACTGCACCCACAAATCCAAATGGAAATAATTTGGTCTGAGCTCTTGGGAGGGGGGATTTCCAGTACTCTAGCTAAAACAATTGATGCTTCAAAGTAAGATGCTTATTTTTTTTTTCTCTCTTAAAAAAAATTAACCCGTTCTTGGACTGAGAGGAACCTGTGATTGTATGCTAATGCTTGCTGTTTGCCTGTTTCTCAGCTTGGTTAAGTTTTCCAGATGATTTTCCAAAGTCGTTGCTCATCATGATAAACAAAGCAAAAGGTGACTTAACATATTTATATGTATTTATAATAAATAAAATGCATTAATAACCACTTTCTCTGTCCTACATGTCTCTAAAACCAGCTGGCAAAACCCCTGCTGGAGTCAGGTAAAGCAGAAATGGATGTGGCAGGAACAACTGTGTGAACTTAGGGGAATGATTAGAATACTTGGAAAAAGCTTGTGGATATTCAGCTCGTTATCAGCAGGGATTTGCGGTTTTTTCTCCACTTTTTCCTGAATCAGGAGCACACAAAAAAAAACAAACCGTTGCTTATGTCTGACTCTGAGTTAAGCAGGCAGGGGTTTAGGCTGTGTGTTCTGACACTTGCTGGGAAATGCTGTGCCCTGAAAGTGGTGTTTGACTGGCGTTATTTTAGCAGCGAGCTGAGCTCTGAGCACCCCATGGAAAACACGGCAGGGAAGGAAATCGCTAAAAAACTCTGCTTATCCCTTTGGTTGGTTTTCTGTTCTATCTACATCTTGAGCCTAGATCTACTTCTGGGGTTTGGGCCACTTAATGTCATGACTGAACTGAGGATCTCTTGCCAATGGTGACTGTGTTTGTACAAGTTACAAAGTGCTCTCGGTGTCGCTTGTGTTGGGTTACTTTGGTTTTCTGGTTTATGTTGTTCAACGCTTTGGTGCCTTGTATGCTTCACTAGTAATTATATAATAATAATAATAATGATGATAGAGGTGCATTCAGTTCTTTCTGTTGGGGTTGGAAATACCCACCCAGTGTCAGAGCAACCACGTAAACTGGTACAGCCGCAGCCTCGGGGGCTCGAGCTGTCCGTGGCCATTTGTGTTAGGAGTGGGGTGCAACTATTTAGGGTTATTAAACCAATTTCCATGCCTGTCGCTAGTGTTATGCTAATTTGAAAAGGGCTGCCATCCCTCTGAAGCGCTTGTCCATGGCACTTAATTTTAATTAATACATTTCCAAAAGACTTTTTTGTGTTTGGAAAACGAAGTGTGTGATTAAGCCTTATTCATAAAGACATATGTTTAAAACTGGTTCCTGCTCATTTCCATTTTTATATCTTAATTTCTTTCCTGTAATTAAAAAAGGGAGGAAAATAGAGTAGTTTTACAGAACAGTTTATCTCTCATACCTTTTTCTGTAAAAGAAAATTTTGAAAATGCTCTTAAAGCACATCTGATGAAGTGAAAGCCAACCAAAACCCCTACTGAAGCAAAAATTACTGGAAACTGCAGATCCGCAAAGGTCACTCAAAATTTTGCAGACTGAGTTGTTGCTAGGAAATATTTGGGGAAAAAAAAGGGCCATTTAAACAGAGAATCATAATTTTTAAGTAGATGTATGTTACTTCTGGTTAAAATTAGAGAAGATTGAGAATATTTAAATGGAGATTAGCTTAACTGTTCATTTTTCACCAAAACTAAAATAATTGGAGAATAAAGTATTTAACAGCTTAATATTTAATCTGAGTTTGGTTTAGTTAAAGACTTAAGGCTAAAAATAATGGAATTTGTAATTGCTTCTTTGTCAAATAATTATGGCCCAAAAAAGAAGTCTTACTAATTTCAGAGCCTAAAATCTCTTCACAGTCTGAGACAAGCTATTTTTGGAATTATGGGTTGTAGTACAGTGATTGTTTTAAATCTCTTCCTTTCATTTATGTCAGTAAAAACTTACTCATACTATCATACCTACCTAGAACCCTAAAATTCTACCTTCTGGAGTCCTTGAAATATTTAGAAGACTCTTAAAGAGCCCAGTTGGAATTAAATAATCTCAGGAGGCTAAGTAAGGAATTTCGAATACAGAAGAAAACACCTGCATTAAAAATTTTTTTGAAAGAAAAAATAACAAGTTTGACTATTTAAGTGCTGTTAAAAGGCCAAATATTAAAAACAAGTGCAGAATTAATCAAAACAACACTAAAGGCAAGTTACCTTAAAGTACAACAGTTTAAATTCAAAAAGAAAAATAAGATGAATTGTAACCTGCAACAAACAATGTTAAACTCAAAGAAAGTTGACCAACTTCTCAGTTAATCTGTAAATTCAGTCCTGTCAGCTGCTCCTGCCCACCCTGGGCTTGCAGGATTTTAGCTGATGCTGAGGTGGAGCGTTTCTCATGGCAGGAAGGCATCTGCTCTGAGGTGATTTACAGTGCACTGAGCTGCTGCTGAAACTGCTACCATGTGAATGCCTAATACTTCTCAAAGATGATTCTGTTGGCAGGGGATAAACGAGCAGCTGACCATTGCATTTGTGTGGGAAGCATCAGTGCTAACCTTGCAGCTGTGTGTGGTTATCCTGAGGATGAAGTCCTGTATTTGTTTCTCCATTTCTCTGGCATATTTTGTGTACCATGTTTTAAGTGTCTCCTTCCATTTGGTGTTTCAGAGAATATGAAGGGAGGACTTGAGAAAAACTGAAGATTATTTTTTTCTGCTCAAATGTTCTTGTTATGATGCTTGCTCTTTTTTTTTTTTCCCCAAGAAGGATTTATTGTGTAAGCTCAGACTGAACTGAAATACTGATCATGTGTTCTAATGTACTTATTATCCTGATTTGTTCATACTTGGAAAAAAACATAATGCCAACTTTGAATTAAATATAATATATTGTTTTCTAACCTCACTTAGTTTTTCTTTGAACTTCAAGACTGAGCAGCAAGAAGTGTCAGAAGGAGGAAATGCTGCTCTGCTGTCTGTTGTGTTTCTTAACTTGTGAAATTCTTGTCACTAACCAGAATGAAGGTTTTACTAACCAGTATATATAATGTCACTAATAGGGGATTGAAAACAGCTGCCAGCTTGCACTGCATCAGCCCAGGTTTAACATGAGCAGTCTTGAGCCTGCCAGGTAAAATGTTCTTTAACCAAATACAGGGAAGCAACAGGTTTGAGGATGGAGGGCCCAGAAGGCAGCTGTCTACCTCAGATACCAGCAGAAAGTTCAGTCAGTTGGAGTTCCTGGAAAGAAGCGTGAGAATCATGAAGCTTTCTTTGTCCTTTGATCCATATCAGTGATTTTGTGGCATTCTCTCACAATACCTGAATATTGCTGCACGCTGAGCTTGTTTCCAAGACTTTGGAAAGTGATTGCTTTCTGTTCTCAGATAATTTTGCTGGTATTGATCTTTACATATACATTTCTATAATTTCCATTTTATAAGAGCATTAGACAGTTTTAGGGTGAAATGAAGGTAGGGCCCAACCCTGGTGCAGTTTTGCAGATTGGCAGCGTTGGTGATATTGGTGCCAGCAAGACGGGGCTTGGCACTCCGGGGCACAGTGCTGCTTCCTGACCCAACAAGCCACCTTTAAGAGCCTTCAGAGGCCAGAAAAGCTTTATACCTTTATTATATCAGCCTTGTAGCACGTGTAAAGTGTAGGGCACGGTGGATAAACCCCTCATTAAAGCTTTTGTGGCTTTTCAGCCTGAACCTGCTCATCAGCAGCGAGAGCCGCGGCACATCCCGCCAGGCTGAGTCCTCACAGGCAACAAGTTTCCAGCCCAGCTTGCCACAGCTGGAATTATTTAGTTTGCAATTTAGGAGAACAAAACTTAGCACTCCATGTTTCACTTCCACAGGATTGTGCTCATCGAGTGCATTCCTTGAAAGCAAGATGTTGGACGCTGCAGCGTTACTGAAATTTGTTTTACCTGCGCTTGTTCCTTGCCATGTGAGTTATCAGCACAGCAATCATTGCTTTGATCTGAGTCAGTGAAAGTGCTTCTAAAGAATGCTAAAATACACCAATCAATATTTTCAATTCTCAAAACTGCTTTTATATTGTTCTGTGTCATTTGATGGAATTTTGATTAGTATTGCATAGTAGAAAAGTTGCGGGGGGGTTTGTTTTCACTAATCCTGATTAAGGCTAGAAAAGACTCTTGATTACAGTAATTTTAATAATGTAAATTTGTTTGTGATATGTCTTTAGTCTTTAATCCCCTTTGGCATTTCATTCAAAGGGAGATGAAAATTTCAGGGATTTATAACATTTAAATCAGTCATTCTATGAATGTTTTTCAGGTAGTTTTTCTTCTACCTGAAATAAAAAATACCTAAATGGGTACGCAACATATTTTGTGATCAGATTAGAAATACATTTGCATGTGGTTTTTGTGGGAAAATAGCTTGATATCAAGCACTTTCTCTTTACAATAAAGTATATGTGCATAAGAGAAAATGGAACCAGTTATCAAAACCAGTAATACATTTGAGATCTTTGCCATTCTTTCAGATGTTTTGAGGTAGGATTTTCACCGAGGACTTTATATAATCTCTTCATAATCAAAATTTACTTTAATTCTTTTGGCCCTTACCCAAAATTCTTATTTCTATTTGTATTTATGAATACATACAGTTTTTAAATTACCAGTTTAATTTTTAAGTAGTCTTAGCTTCACTTCACAATAGTAAAATTTGAGTTAATGTTTATTCCTAAAACACTGAACAGTTTTGAGCGTAACCCTCATATTTCTTTAAGGCCAAACAGATTAATCATAAGTATTAGCATTACAATTAACTAATGTATAGAGATATTTAGTCAATTTAATTCAGAGTGAAAATGAAAGGGTTTAATTTTTTTGCTATGCTTAAGGCAGTGAAATTTGCAGAACAAAGACTTGCAGAAGACAAACCACAAGTACTTAAGGTCTTACAACACAGAGGAGGGGAGCGTGCTGCTTTTCAAACTCCTTGCCCTGGTGAGGCAGCTCAAATATATCTGTATTTAAATTATTTAACAGTTTATTTTAATTTTTAAGTCTTCCAATTCATCACTGATTCATGTTCATTAAAATCTGCTCTGTTAATGCCATTTTTATTTGCTCATTTCCTCTTCCCCCACGCTAACATTGATGTTTTGTGTGTTTGTGTGTATCAATACAGAATTGTATTTTGAATATAACCCAACCTTCCTCAGCTACCAATGGGGGGGAAAAAAAAAACCAAACCTATCTGCTCTTTTGCCTTAAGTATTTCAAAGGGAAAAACATGGCTGAGCAAAAAAACATCACCCCAGCTCTTCCTCCAAGCCCACTTTTGTCTAAAGTAATGAGGCCATAGTCAGTTGGCTCCCAAGAGCGCTGTGATTTGGTGTGACGTACAGTGAATCATTGCAGATCCATTCGGACTGCATTCGTTATTTTAATGAGACGCAGGCAAATCTGTTTTTTGGCCGCAAACCTTAAGATGCAAGCATAATGTGAAACGGTTGTTGATTGCCACAAGGCAACTGACATTATGGATTTTTATCGCCATCATTATGCACTTTAAAACTCCCCACATCCCAGGATATTTAGCCCCTTCCCTTTCCTCCCGCGAATGACAGGGAAGCCACAACGCTGACATTTAAAAGCCAAAAGCTCATCTGTTTAATTTCTGGGCTTATTAAAACCTTACGTTGCATCCTCTGGTCTGCATTTTTTTTTCTTT